ACTTTATTAGCCTTACAACCTCCTCTGTGCTCCTACCTTTTGATAGAAAATGTATGTAGAATCTCTGAACATGCTGTTACCATAATGCAGGCACAGAAACAATGCACTTTATCCAAACATGTCTTTGGAGTGATGACCTCTCCCTCTTGCTGTCAGCATGAGGATTTGTGTTCTTTCGCAATAGGCAGTCATTTAACTTCTCCCTCTCTCTCATACAGGCATATATCAGTGTGGTCCCGCCTCCACCAGAGCCATTAAGGAAGGGGATGTGAACCTGGATTATGACAGATCATTTGTGTTTGCAGCAGTGAATGCTGACTATGTTACTTGGATTCGCTACAGCAACAAGAGAAAAGAGAGAATTTATTCTGATACTAGGAAGATGGGAAAATTTATCAGCACCAAAGCCATGGGCACCAACTCCCGTGTGGATGTCACTGCTAATTACAAATATCCAGAAGCTAACTTCTTTATTACAGTTGTCTTGCCACTGATGGCCTTTGTTGGATCAAGCACTGACTTAATTTCTTTATTTCTTCTGGAGCAAAGTAATTGTGAATTTACAAAGTCTTAGGGCTTGTTGTCAGCTGACAGTGATTCAATATAGCCTTTGTGGCCCTTGATGAAATACTAATATATTCAATAGAAAGTCAAAGCTATTTCTGCAAAACATTCTGTCCCAGCTGTTCTGATCAGCTGGTGAGAATATTTCTGTTATGCCATGCAGCAATAGCCATTCTGGAGAGTTGTCTGGGAAGAGTTTCTGCAAAAGGATTTCTTCACCCTTCATAATTTCAGAGGAGATTGCAATTGCCCCAGGTTATGCAGGACTGAGCTCTCCCATCAGTGATCTTTCTACTGCTCACAGCTTCTAAGAGGTGCCCATGAACAGCCAGCTAAAGCTGACAGGCAGGTTTTACTTTCCAGCCTTTGCGGCCATGTATATTCATTTGCTTTTGTGGCAAAATTAGCAGTTAGGTTAGACCCCACTTTCTCCTTTTGTGTATCTTTGCACTTTTCAGCTTTCCTAAACTGTATTTACTGAGAGAAATTATAGCTCAATTGCACTATATCCAGCATGCATGAGATCTCTGACCATGTTATCTTTCAAATCAGGATCCTTGAAAGAAAGGCAGGTGTATAAAAAAGCACTGAAGCTGCTTGGTGTGAGAAGCACTGGGAAAAGAACCAAAATTACAAGACCTAGAAGACGATCTTCAGTAGCATGGAGACAAAATATGACACAGCCTGCACAAAAACCCAGTATCTCAGGGAAGCTGATCCTTGATGCATCTCTTGTGACTGGCCAGGATATCCTCCTTACCTTGGCACTCAGGAACTTGACTTCAGATTTCAAGACCATAAAGGTTAAACTGAGAGCTTCAGCCATTCTCTACACATGAAAACCAAAGGCACAGATTCTGCAGTTATCTAGGTCTATTAAACTTGGATCTGAGGAAGGTAATTTTAATTTTTTTACAGCTTAGTACAAGACATAGCTTTGTTTTGTGGCCAAATCACACAGAAATAATGAATGGCTCAAGAAATGCATTACCTGCAAATGGTTGGAGGTTAAGGCTATTCAGGGGAAGAGAAACATGTATTTTAAATGCCCTGTCTTAAGCACTTGCTTTTGTGCACTGTCAGAAAGGATACTGAGATGGGTGACCTTCTGTCTGACCCAGCACAGCCACTATTAGTTCTACATTATGACCTTTTTGGCTAAGAAAGAACGACGAAGAGACATACACCAGAGACTACTCAGCCACCTGCTCCCCATAAACAAAGTATACAGACAGATTAGAAGGGGGAAACATAAGCCTACGTCTTCTGCAGCAGCAGAACAGTAACTACAGACTGCAGCAAGAGCTACACCGCCTGCAGATAGCGGCCTTTGCCCTGCTTTTATAGGGACAGTGCTGAAAAATGAGACATGTAACAGAGATGAATATAACTGCCCTCTCAAACTAATACACAGCACGTTATAACTCTTTCCACCATTCCAGCAGCAGATGAACATTTTTTTCTCAATGTACTGAGCTCCATCGCCTTCCTCACTAGCACAGAGACTCTGGCTGTGCACCCTCTTCAAGGCAGAGGCTGAAGAGCTGCGTTGGCAAGGGCATTTAAACCAACCCATCTTTTCACCTGTGCCTTCTTTGCAACAAAGGAGCATTAAATGTCCAGCTCCAGAAAAATGAAAAAAGCATCAGCAAGCATTGCCACAAATATCCATCCTCAGAACTGTCCAGCTATAGAACTGTACCTGATTATTTAGTGTTTGATGTGAATGTAAGTAGAAGTCACCTATGAGCATCATTCCTCTCTATTGGCTATCAGCACCCACAAATGGACAGCCCCAGGGTGACAGCATCCTTGCTCCTTAAAATAGATATATTACAGATAGCTGGTACTTAGAAACAAAAAAAACAAACAAAAAAAAAAAAAAAAAAAAAAAAGAAGAGGGGGAAATTCTGTTTCTATTTCTGTCATAGTACTATGAAGAAAGTTAACTCTGTCTCAGCTGAAACCAGGACAATTTCCATTCCAGTGAAGGAGATTTCATTCAAGATCTCCTATTCCCAGTACAAAAACTCTCTGCTGGATGACAGGAAGATCCTAGTGACTGCTGTGTGTGAAACCAAACAAGGAGCCTCGCTTCTAGTGGAGAAGGATATTGTACTTCAGGATCCTTTTCTCACCATCAAGGTAACAGTTGATCTCCTTTGTGTCCCTAGAGAGATGTGTTGAGAAGAAGCAACTAGAATCCTTACTCCATCTACTCCTCATGGGAAGGAGGGTGAGGGTGATTTGGTCTCGTTGCTGCAGTGACAGGCCGTATGACACAAGTGAAATGAAACACACTAAGGAAAAGCAAACCTTTTTGAGGCATAGTTATGCGATGGTATGCTTGACAGGGCTTGTTGACATGGCACTGATAAAGTTCTCAGTGTTATGAGGGTTACAAGGTAAGATTATCTCCACAGAGACAGACAGACAGAGAGAAACAAGGAGAGACACACAGATCTAGACCACATCTACCTCTCCACCTTTGTCAGGGAAGTCGATAATGCCTGGGGCCGTGAGGCTCATTATTACTAATACTCAAGGAAGGTCTTTCACCTTACCAGGAAAAGTGGCACTTTTCACCTTCTGTAACATCTTCCCAAATGATTAATAATTAGAACTGGAGGGGGTTTTTTCCGCTTAAGACTGACTTCTGACAAATGTTGTACAATGGGTAAAAAGCAAATCTCAGTCTACAGGAAAGACCACGTGCTGTGTCTGCCCAGGGACAGTCCAGGGTCTGCATGGCCCATCACATCCATGTAAACTAGCTTACCTTGTTTTGGACACATCAGCACATTCACATGCTGTATCAGACATGGGATCAAATGCCATCTACCGACCTACTGTACTGCAAACAGCACAGAGGGAGTTATGATAATCCACAGAGTCGTTCAGAGCCTCCAGACTGGATGAGCTATCCCAAACCACTCTGTCAGTAGCACACAGGAAAAGCAAGGTTACACACAGGAATAAAAAGTTTGGATTTTTGTAGGTCTGGCAATTTCTGAATACCAAGTTCTAGCGAGACTTTGTAAAAAGTCTTTTGTGCTGTGTCATGCAAATAACAGTCAGCTTATATATGGCAGGCCCCTGAATTAAATTACTTCAGTTCAGTGACTAAGTTTCAAGCAGGGTTTATATTTCTGTTGATTGAAACTTCTGTATAAACATGCAGTCAACAATAGAGAAATGCAATTGGGGTGCTGGACTTCTCAATGACATTAATTAATATTACATTATCTACAAAGATAACCAGATACACCAATTCCACTTTATCTCAGCCAAAATAAGGTATGGATATGTTTATTTGCTACTTGGCATTCTATTTTTTTTTTTCCTGAGATGCCACAATTCACCTCTGTCTCACACCACCAATGCTTTCTAATTCTAATCCTTTCATTTAGCCTAACTAAAGCTAATTTGCCTTAAGCTGCCTACAGTAGTTAGCCATATATGCCAGGTTAACACTTGTATTCTCGTTCTGTTCTCACTCTGGTAAGTATCACATACACTGACCTAGTTAAAAAGTTGGGACTAAATGGTAGATTCTATGGTAGTTTGTTCTTTCACAGCCACACTGGATGGCTGATTCAAGCCCAAACTCTGCTGCCCCAAAATATGTAAAATCAATACAACTCCTGGCTCTTTCCTGTCCAGCAGATCCTAAGAGGGTAGGTGGCTTGCAGTGGGAATGAAAAGAAAAAAACACAAGAAAGAAGTGAGACTAATGCTATGGCTGAGCAGAATGTTTTCTCTCTGCAGGCCCTTGGTCCAGCAGTGGTACACCAGGCTGTTGATGTGCAGGTCACCCTTACCAACCCGCTGCCTGAAGCAGTGACAGACTGTGTGCTGAGAGCAGAAGGTAGTGGCCTGCTCAAAGAGCAACTCAGAATCAAGTATGTAAATGCTATCTGGCTAATAACTCACTCACTTTGGTGGGAAACCTGTAATAAAAGCAGGGTTTTTAAAAAGATTCTGTCAACCTCACGACCTCTGTTTGCACCAACCCTGGACAAAATACCATTAAGTCAGTTCTCTCCATATACTAGTTGGAGATTTTTTTTATACCTCTTTTGCCAAGCTTTGAATTACAGAATGTTCAGGGAGTGGAGAGATGGCCTGCTTTTAATGACAGCGTGTAACTCAGAGTGCTGTAGTTAGTGACTGAATTATATAAAGGGGAAAAAATTTAAAAACGTTCTTTTTGCAGTTTGCAAAGGAAAACCAACAATCTTTGAAGGATAAGAGAGAAAGTGATGATTTCTTTTTCCTTCAGATATTAAATTACTAAGGAGCCAGAACATATACTGTAATGAAATGTCTTAAAATTATGTCCACTGATATCATACCAATAAGAAATTTTTCTCCCATCTCCTCTGTGGTTATTATTTTAAAAATATTTTTTAAAGTTCCCAAAATATTTATGCTGGGGGAGTTAGAACCAAGAAATTGTGAGAGGAAAACAAAAAAAGACAGCAAAGGATGGATAATGATGTGAATCACTACGGTTTCATTTACACTGAATGCAAAATTCAGGTCTAGATCCTGACCTTGAACCTTAACTTGCCTTACCAGCATTGCTATTGCTCAGCTACAGTACCTCCTTAGAGCAGCGGGACCCTTTCCCCCCCTCTCTGTTTCCTGGTGCTACTATCAGTCTCCTAGTGTTGGACAGCCAAGAGTCATTTCTAACTATGGACATAAAATCAACAGGTAATCACATTTACCACACCAAAATACAGCATGAGCATATCTAGACCACTATAAATGTTGTGAGTGTTGAGGGCAATACATACCGTTAGGTTTGAGCTCTTCTAAAGATAACCTTTCTGATCATTCCTCAGGCGCTCAATATGTTTTGCCCTCGTGATACAACCCCTAATTCTCTATCACAGGTTGAGAACTGCCGCTGTTCTACCACATCCATTACAGCTTGATTAGTTCTTCAAGGGTAGTGTTGTGGGGGCTGTGAGCATGGAAGGTTATGTCCACCCTGTGCAAGGACACAAACACAGCAGCCACTTACACTGTGGCTCTTCCTTTCCATGCTGTCTTAGCTTTGAGGACTCTATGTAAGGATATATAGCAAGAATTTTTCAGCTGCTTGAACTTACAAATGTATTCTCTCTTTTAGTGTGGCAAGTATGGCCCCCATGGAGAGCTCAACCGTCCAATTTGAAATCATTCCCTACAAGAGTGGCACTAGGCAGCTTCAGGTGGACTTGGTTTGCATCCATTTTTCAGATATTAAGGGATTTGTGATGCTTGACGTGGCTCCTGCTCAGTGATATAACCTGTGCATCAGTTCAGTTTTGTCTCTGTTTATGAGACTGGTGCAGTGTTCATACATTATTATGACTGGGAGCATGGGAATGCAGACTACTCAGCCAAAGTAAAATGTTGTAATATGAATGGAAATTAATAAAAAGGCATCATATACTATACTGTAAAGACAGTGTCATCTTTTTCATTCCCTAACCTGTTTTATGGACCTTCATGAGTAGAATTACTAGTGGAAATCATATATAATTTACTTGAAGAAGAGGATCAAGTGTGATTGTTTTCAGCGTTAGAGACTGTAGCAATGATAACAGCTATATTTCCAAGGAACACCATTTAAAATTAGTGGTTTTGTAAGCTTCATTGAATACCATTTAATTATATTCACTAAAAATAAGTTTTATTCAGTAATAGCCAAAGTACAATCCAAGTAGCTGATATAATTCAATTCTAGAATTAAATTTATCATTTCATCTAATTACTAGAAGGAAAATACAGCAATAAGATACAGCAGTGTTACAACAGAACTCTCTTCTTATCACTGGAAAAATGAGAAGCTATTCAAAATACAATACTCTTCAATTCAGTTTCCCTATTCAGATCATGATTCAATCATATGATAAATTATAAATAATTAAATGTTCGTCAAAGAAATGACTGCAAGAAACAGTACAAAAGCAGATGAAAGAAACAGGTCTTTGACTAAGGAGTGGCAAACAGTAGAGCACCTGAAATAATAACAGGCTGGAATAGCTGTTCCTGAAAACAGGAATGAAGCAGAACATCATTGAACAGTAAATATCTCATCTGTTATCTGGACTAAGACACATTTATTTACACACATGGCTCCTCACATATGCACCACTGCCTCAAAATGCTCAGAGTTCTCTCTGGATGAACTAAATCAACGAATGAAACTTCCCCAAAGATAAAAGGATAAATCATTACCACAGCCAACCTGACTGAGACTGAAACACATTTCTAACACTGATACACTATAGTGAAGCACTATGCAAATTTTCACGTATGCACATCTTACAAATTCACCTCCTCATACAGCCTCAATTATCACTTACTTCAGTTGGCTCTACCAGGAAACAAAATCATTTGGCCCTTGAGAGTGGGGGGAAAGGGTATTCAACAAGGAAAATATACTGTAAGAGATGTCTTATAGCCCCTATACTAGGGGTTCAACCCCAAATCTTGTTCAGCTGGCTACATCTCTGCAATCACCCTCTCCCAAAGAAGCTTCTGGATAATAAATTTGGTATTTTAATGTAAAATAGTATTTTCATCAGTTGACATATTAAGAGCAGCTTCCATTAAATTTCTTGTTGGATAACACTGCACTCAGGTATGACAAACCCACAGAGGCAGGAATACATGGAAATTTTCGTGCAAGTCACAAAATATTTTGTGGAAATAGAGATGTCACAGCAAGTGTACTCAGGAGTGCAGGTGCACAAATAAAATCTCTTCTCTTCCAGGAGCATAATGTTATATCCAAGTCTTAAACCTCTGTTTGCTAAAGCCTCCTTTTTCTATAAATCACTGGTTGTATCTAAGACAATATAATCTTTAGAGATATATTATTTATGCAGCTGCACAAATAGACACAGCATTCTTTTAAAATACACGGTAAGAAAAAGTCTTTGCCCCAGCTTACTCTTTTTAATGAGCACTAAAAGGAAAACATAAAGAACTTTTATAGGTGGTTAGATCTTTAGGATATGAGAAAAAGAGAATATTGAATATTGTTTTCATCTAAACAAAATGCATTTAGTTTCTGTGAGTCTAAGAGAACATGACTGCAACTCGCCCTATGCAGTGGTGGAGCCACAAATGCCAGAATAGCTACCAACAATTCAGGAAAAATAAAATAAAATAAAGGTTAATTTTAAAAGGAGTTTACAGGAGAGGAAAAGAGGTCTCCTGTTGCCATGAGGCAGAAGGACAGAAAAAAATGCAGCTGATGTAATGAATAAGTAAATTTCTCAATACTGTGCTGACTTTGGTTCTCAGTTTCGCGAAGTAGTTCCAGAAACAGTTTCAGACAAAGACAAAACTGATACCTATACTGTTTTGTTTATAGAAATTACCTAAATACTTTCTACTATAATGTCTCTAATTGAAGCACAGCTAAAAGCTTTCAGGACTTATATGTAACTCTGAGGCTGACTGCTAAGCTTCACTGCATTTTAAATACAAGTGATGGACAAGACAAAAGTGACAATTTGGAAGATTTATTGCAGGAAAAACTGACTGAGCTATCCTACTGGCCCACTGCATCCTCTTCATAAGGAACTGCAGCAATTGCCTTAGGAGTATTTACAAAGGCTTTGCTAAGCACAAACCAGAGCAATTTCCCAAAAAAAAGTGTATGGGGACCCACTTTACAATGCTCTCTGGCTACGACTAACAGGCAGTAGTAGTGACCAGGAGCCATAACCAACACAGGCAATCAGTCAGTGCATTGGTCCTAATTATTTTGGCATTATGCATTTTGAGAAAATTGGAGTAGGGTCTGGAGGAAAGGTTGGGTGTTTTCACTTTGCTTCAGGTCAGAAACTTCACACAGTACTACCAGGAGAATTGGCCAAACTTGTCTCCAAGAGCACTTGAGAAAAAGCAGCCCATGACGTGTGTTTTTTGTTTTGTACTGGCACTAACTTCAAGGTTGTTACTTGCCCACACTTGCTGACACAGACTTCACCCAGCCCTTCATCTGTATCTTACAAAACCATTGTATTGATCCTCCTAACTTATGCCAGAGGAAGTTCCATCTGTTTCCTTTCATGCAGGTATCATAAAGCAGACAGGAAAAAAAAGACTGATTTTTTGGTTTGCAAAGGCAGATACTTTGCAATACTACCAGAAGTGCTCAGAAAGCACAGGATGGGAAGAAAAGGCTCAGGACAATACAATCAGAAGGATGTATGAAAATTCGCAATTAACAGTCACAGATCCTCATCCCACAAAGCTGCTCACAGTCCATCATTATCCTCCACGAGGAAGGCACTATGCCACCCATATCTAAATCCCAGCACTGTGTCCATTTACTCTGCAGAGTTAAAAAGCCAAAATAACAATGACCTGAATGTTCCTAAGAGACCATTTGCCCTTTTCCTCCTGACAATACCTAGTACTGTCCAGGAATGCAGTCCCAACGTCCCCCAGAAAGAATGTTCACGGACACAAACTGACTCTATGATACAGACTGAACTGAGGTCTCATTTGAATTTCTTTAATCTGAAGCCAACAAAATCTTCAAAGCATGTTTATTACACCAATATTTTGCCACCCACACAAATACGTACAAGCAGTGCAGAAGCTTGTCAAAACTCGTCAGCCCAGAGAGACTGGAATGAAGATTGAAAAGGACACCACACACACACATAGAGGAATTCAGATTTCTCCAGGCAAAGGAGAGGGAAATAGGTAGCTTTGCACCTATCAATTAAGTCTTGCAAGATCTTGGAAGGTCAGGCTAGACAATCCTCCACTTGACTCAGAAAAGGCCTTGAGGTAGTGATGGTATTTCACAAAATCTCATAAAATCTTGCAAGAACGCAGACTGTCATTACACTAACACACAGTGCAGCCAAGCCATTCAAATTCCTTCAGTATTTCTTCTTAAATACAATCTAGGAAATTACTTCAGAGACTGTTTGTCACGAGAGCTTGGAATGACCTCATCCTAATTAACTATATGAAAAGGAAGCCTACTGTTCAAATGAAAATCATCCCTAAACCTTGTGCCAAGTTCCAAGCTCTGCAGCACTTGGGGCTGGGGCTCTTCCGGGCATCAGCATCATCAGCTGCCCTCAGCAACCACACCCAATTCAGTTTCAGTGTTAAAACACATTTGTCCTGTTAGACATAAGACAACTATTCAATTAAACTAATGATTATCACAAGAAAAAATGTCTAAGTGCCCGAGGAAGGATTTAAACAGCTTCTGCCAAACCTACCCTGCATGCAAAGTCTCTTTTGTCTGTTAACCTTTCCAGGGGGCCTCTATAGGCCATCGAGGCCCATTTCAGTGCAATTAAAGCTACAAAGGGACAATAAATAGTTCTCTGTCCACAGATTACAAAGTGCTGATCAGTGCATCCTACATAGCAAAGATTACTTGCAGTTGCCAGTTTGACCGAGAGATGGCACTGTGCACACACAGCCACCCAAGGCAGGGGCGGTGGGCGAAACGCCGCAGGGACCTCCACCAGCCTGAGGGAGGTGTTCACACACACGTACACTGCAAAGGAGCACTGAAAAACGCTGACTGTGCAAGGAAAGTCAGAGGTTTGAGCACAAACAACTGGCTTACGCTTCACGTACACTTAAATAGTATGAATCCAACATTATATACTGCGTTTACCACTTCATATAAAAAACAAGTTCAAGACACATACTAAAATCACATGTAATTAACATTGAAAAGTGTATGTTGACAATAAACTCACTGAGTTTTCTGGAAGATCCCCCAGTGTGCTTATCTTTTAGTATTCCCAATTTCTGCAAATCTGGTGACCTCCATGCTTCCTAAAAAAGTCAAACCAGTTAAAGGTTACCTCAGGCAGCACCGCGCCCGGGCTGCAAAGCAGGCTGGTGACAGCCTGGGGGGCACTGGGGGAAGCACCGCCAGCAGGCAGAGGGGGGGGATCCCTCCCCTTCATTCAGCACTGGCCAGGCCACACCTGCAGCGCTGCGCCCAGTGCTGGCTCCCCAGCACCAGAGAGACATGGACACCCTGGAGACAGCCCAGCAAAGGGCCACGGAGAGAAGGAAGGGACTGGAACACCCCGCACGCGAGGAAAGGCTGAGGGAGCTGGGACTGTTCAGCTCCAGAAGTCCCTTCCAACCTCAACCGTTCTGTGATTCTGTGAAAATGAAACTATACCATTAACGCTATGCTGTAAATCACTACAACTAAGACAGCTTGTATTTAGCTTAAACAATGCATATAAACAAGCAACTGTAAAGTTTAATATGCAAATATTAAAAAAAA